CAAGAAATTAAATATTTTAGAACTTGGCTGTTGCCTCGGCACCAAGGCAGGATTATATATTTATTTATAAATATATAAAACATCTTTGCTCTAGCTGCTGCTCGCGGTGGTTGGCCTAGCCCGACTTTTGCCAGTTTAATTAAAAAGCGGGCCCCTTTGTGTTGTTTGATGTGCTGCTGGAGCCAAATTTAGGCTCGGCTCCCAAATATATTATTGCATGCGGGACCCACAGGACTGGAAATTGCAATAACGACCGCGTTCTCACTGCCTTTTTCATTTTATTAAAATCCTGGTGCTAGATAATACTGGGGTTCAATATTATCTACATTGAACTCACAAAAAATAATAATAATAACAGGCACCAGCAGGAACCTTGAACAAGTTAAAGCGAATCATAATAAGCAGGAAATTGAAACTTACAAATTAATATTCTTGGCTTAACTCTAGCTGTGCCTTTTGTTGATTGTTATTTATTTCGAATTCTAATCGACTGCAACTAGTTTGACAGTTCTGATGAACTCGAATAACCTAACTTTTCACCCATGTCATGCAAAACAACAAAGCCGATCGGATACAGGCTCATTTTATAAATCTCGACCTCACCCTGCACATGACGAAACGCATTCTGCTCACAACATTGTCTTTTCCACGCCTCTGCACGCTGCTGCAATCGACAGACGGATTATTATTATAAATTCTGGTGCCGCCGCGACTGCCCACTCGCGGGAATGGACTTTTCGATGCCAAAGCGTCGTCTTCTTTCTCGCCTGTGCGTATACTTGTGATATTAATCCATCAGACATTCACTTCGTTTGCCAAGTACCTTGCCAAGAGGAAAGAGAGAAAACCATGCAAATGCCACGGATGAATGAGAATGCAATGTCGGGAGATTTTGTAATCGGCGTCCTTTATTTTCGCGTGACACGAGGGAGGAGAAAATAAATTTTTCTAAAGGAAGGAAGGAAGCGGTGCAAATTTACCATTCCTGTTTCTTGCAACTCGATCTGTGCCAAATCCCAGCAATGGGTTGTGTGTTATGAAAGGGGTTCTTTGTTCATTTCTCGCCACGTGTCTTATTGTTTGGGGGAAATAAAATAAAAAATTTAAAAGAGCGTTTGCATCTTTGTATGGCTGATAAACTAGACTGCCTTTCGGTGCTTGTTATCTGAAGTTATTTGCGTGCTCGCGTTGAAACAAAGGGCGCAGATGCCACCTAATTGTATTTATTTATACTTAGGCAGTGCGCTAAAAATACCCACATTTTAGTACAGTGGACCACGTGCTGCAGTTTCAGGCCGCCGTGTTCCTACAAAATACGGCAGCTGCCGACGCGTTAAATGGATGCGCGGCCGCAGACAAACAAAAGCTCATTCTCCCTAATTTTGCACCTGGTTTTCGAATAATAATTCCCTTTGCGACCCCCTGTGCAGCAGGGGCACCGCCGAAAATTGTTTGTTGCGCAAAAGCGGCTCGGTTTCTGCCTCGGTTTGGCAACTGGCGCCGAATTCCGACGGAGGCAGACCAACGTTGAGAAACAAATAATAACGAAGCGCTGCGTCATCTCTCTTGGCTGCAACTGCAAACAGGATATTGAAGTTTTGTTCTTGCTCATATTTTTTGACCTGGTCCGTTTTTACATTATTTTTTGTTTCACAGAGTAATAGATTTTAGCGCATATTTTTTATTTATTATTATTCAAAATCATCTTCATTTTTATTGAGAACGAGAATTAAAAATTTTCTTGTTCATCTTGAGAATTTAAAAAAAAATCTATAAAGAGAAATACACCAAATTGTTTATGCGAATGTCGTTTATTTAATTGGCAAAATAAAACCAGGTTTTCCAGCCTGGACATCAAAGTTAAAAATTAGCGGAGAAATATTTTTTGTGTAAGATGAAGAAGTTTGTTATAGAAATTATTTCAGCCTCGGTATAGAAGGGAAAAGGGGCACGTGCTTTTTGATAAGAAAAATAAACCGAGGCACTGGGTGCGGAGCTGCCACTGCTGCCTGCCAAGCCAGCAGCTCACGTACACGCCGGAAAAGTTTGAAAGTATTGATTTGCCCTTGCTGTGTGTGATGAAAGTTATTCCGACGATGGCACGGCGAAGGAGCCGCCGCTGCTGTAGTGGAAGTTGTTTATTATTGTTCAAGCGGCGCACATAGAGAAGCGAGATATTTTTGTAAGACGTCATTTGCTGTTATTGTGCGCGACGAAAGCCGAGGAGAAAAGATTGGAAGTGCGGAAAATACGCCAAGCGAAAGAACGAACTCGCTCATTTATTGGATTTTGGTTGGTGTGGCTGGTTCGCTGGCTGGGTGAGGAGGAATAATGTGGCACTCGCTCCAGAGTCAATGTCTGCAATGCGCAATGTGTGACACGTATCTGCCTGCCCGTCGTTTCTGGGTCAAATTTCATATATGCTTAATGACATTTCCGTGCGATTGCCAAGACGAGGAAAATCAAATTGATTGGAACGCACGTCGGCCAATTTATTACGTAGTTTGGCTGGCGCTGCTGGAAAATTCTGCCGTCAGGAGGCAAGCGCGACCCACCGGAAGGAAATTCGAGTGAAACAACTCGGCCCATTTTGAATGCGGAAGTGAATAGGTAGATGCGAGCATCAGGCTTAGATAGAAGTTATCATTGCATTTTATTTTCTGTGCTTGCTTGCGTGACAAAAATGCTGGCATAATTTTAAAAATATCTTCCAAAATATTATATGGACACGAATATCAAAAAGTCGATCCTTTTCCTGCTGACGATATCATATAGATTAACAATACTATTCGTGTTGCTGATTAATTAAACAATGAAATTAACAACGGGCAGGCTGTTCGTCTGTCTTGCTGGTTGCATACCTTTGGAGTTAACAAAAGGTTTAAAAAACAAATCGAAATAACTTTAAATTGTCCCAATGGATTGAAAGTTTTATTTTTGTTGGTTTAAAAAAGGTACAAAATTCCAGAAAATTTTCAAGAGGGTTTAAATTCGCATTGCAGACAGAGTAAATGCAACAACGCAAAATCTCTCCGGCCGAATTGATTTTTACGCAGCACGCCTTTTGTGCTGTGACATAAAGATATACCTACCGACCCACCTTGTGAAATAAATAAAAGAACGGGTCCCTATCCTATACGGGAGAGCACAAATTTTGTTCGACGGGATCGATAGACGCGGCAACAGTGTCTGTTTGTATGTAATCTGAAAAAAGGAACTGCCTGCTTGGCTGACTCTAGCCAACTTTTCTCACAAAACAGATGGTGTTCGTGTGTATGCAGCAATATACGTATCAGCCGATATTATCTTCCTGCTTTTTTTGTGGGGCTTCTCACGTGAGCAGGAGACCCAGAAGAAACACCACTTCTTCATTTTCTTCAATCCCCTCTTCCACAGAACTTTGTTAGCCGAATTGCAAACGAGAAGAAGTGCAGACTGCGGAGCCTCACTCACTCATAACTTACCAGATAACTCACGCACACGCTGCAAAGAGAAAAATTTACAAAACGCGGCATTCAAATTTTATTTCCACCGAAAAGGGCGGAAAAGCTGCAGAGAGTGGAAAGAGAGCACTGGCTGTGTTTTCCGGAAGGAGCTTAGGGCCGAGAGCTGCCAGCAGCGCGAATAATGCAACGAGAATGGCTGCTGTCGTCCTTAAACAGGGCTCAAAGGGGTCTCTCCGGCTGGGAGCAGGGGTCTCGCTTGCGGTTGTTATGCGCAGGTCACATGATTTTATTATTGTACTCCACGTCAGCTCGTTCTCCATTGGTCGGCGCGGTGACGAATGGAACCCGGCAGATCCCCGCACCACTCGCTGCTACCAGGCCCTCTCTCTCTTTCTCTGGTGCTCTCTGGGTTTGTAATCGGGCTCCGCGTGACGTCACACGTGTACCAGTTGCCATGACAACTGTGCTGTTCGTCGTGTAATATAACAGCAGCCTCGGCAATTGAAAAGCAAAGGCAAAGCCAGCCGGCCTAGCGAGCTCTTTTCCATGTTGTTATTTCTATATGCATAAAGTTTTATTTCAATCCAGTGGCACTCGCAGCACCGAAAATAAATTTCGCTCCATCGGCGACGCTTTAAATCGTCATTTCATTTTACTTTCGTGCTCGTCTTGATGGGTCTCCTTCCTATCAACCACCGCTTGAACCGCGCCAAGGACGAATAATTTATCAAGTTCAATTTTTCTTATTGAGAGAAACGATTTAAATGAGAGGAGAAAAATTATTTTTCATTCATTTTTTAAATCGCTTCCATGATCTAATAATTTGGGAAATTTTTATAAACCTAAATAGTTTTTTGGATTATATAAATTTAAATATTAATGCCATTCCAGAGGGGCATCAATCAGTTTGTAACAAGCGGTGTCGTTGAACTTAGAAATTACGCTTTCCTAACCTATTTTCAGTAGAGTCAGAGTAGAGTGTTGCTCCTCGTGATTGTCAGTTCGATTGGCGCAATGCATACTATTAAAAGCCAATGAATCTATTTGAAAGAAAGAAACAGAATTCCGCGGCCGACAGGGAATACTAACAGGTGCCGCGCGAAATAGGACTTATATTTGCATGACAGAGGGTCACACGCGGCATGCAAATAATCTGGCACACCGAGACAACGTGACCTCAGTCGGACGTCTAATGCCGCATGTTTTCGCAAATGTAATCCATCATTCCAAGCGAACGCCTTCCAACTGCCGGTAGGGTCATGCATTATTGATCGCCGTTAATCTTTAGCAGCCCGAATGAGGGTAGAAATAATGTCACTTTTTCGCAAAAATAAATAATTATAGAAAAAAGTGGGCCGCGTCCGTTTATCATGTCGGCGCTGAATAATTCATCTCCCGCACGGAGACGGACGCCGAATTTGAAGCACCGACCTCAGTGTGTGGTGAACTTTGGTGCTCTCTGAAGCTCCGCAGATCACTCGCCACTTATCTCTCGGCGGGCAGCGCCGCTTATCAGCCCAACAGTTTGAGGAATTGGGCCATGAGTGTGTCGTGTGTACAGTAGCGGTGATGCTGGCAGCCCGATAAAAATTACTATTGCACCCGGAGCGAGAGCGATTTTGAAACGCATGCGTCTCCCGACGTGGCCGCCAATGACGATGAACCACCCCTCGTGCTGGAAATTCCCCGGACAGGTGAAAAAATGGGCGTGGTGCACGCGGACTCTGCTGGGCTCATTTTCTTCTTTTCTTTTTCCACTGCTCTCGCTTCCGGCGGCGTGTTGGCCGCAGGCCAGAATTATCTCCAGCAAATACGCAGTGGCTGTTGTATTATGGTGAAAGAGGCAGAGGGTTGCTTTCGCACGCCCAAGTTCGGAGTTTGCCTCAGCTGCACAAACCCCACTGTGTGCCGAGCGAGAGCAACCAACTTTGCCCTTTTGTTGAAATATTGCTTTGGCCGGCTGCGTGCCTTGCGGTGGAAAAAGAAAATTAGAAAATCACAGGAAAAAAAAAACAAAATTCCGCAGAGGGCAATTTCAAAACTCTTCAAATTTATGTTATTATTATTATTATTTTTCATTGTTTATCCTTCTTGGGAAAGGTACCAGCCTTTGAATAAAAAAAAATTTATTGAGTTTAAAAATAATAAATAATTTTTGTTTTCCATAAAAAACGTTTTGCACTTCCCCGCTGACTAAATTTACTTAAATAATAAAATTGACTTCAAGGGACTTCAAGGTTTGAAATTTTTGAATTGTCCTCGGCCCAAATGCTCCCAAATTGCCACGGAACGTTTTCGTGGGAAACTAAAACAGCGATAAATTCCGTTTCCTGATTCCACTCCCGGTTTCGTAAAACACTACCGACGGCAGCCGCACAGGCAGTTTTTGTGCGCTGCGTAGTCTGATAACTTCCACATTGGCGGTCAAATACACCCAAAGTTCCGAGCACCACACTCATTTTCCGCTCCGAGCTGATATCACGGCTCGCTCGCGCACTCCACGACTCATTCTTTAATACTGCCACGCCAGGCCGCGGCCAGGAAAGAAGTAGTGCAGACTAGATGCGTTTTCAGTGTTGGGAAAGTCATGCAAGGACCAGACAAAGTGATTTTTCCGTTCGAGTGAGTCTCGGAGAGCACTTGGTGGGCGGTCCCGAATGATGTTAGTTGGCAAGACGCACGATGATAAGGTTTCAACTGCACCCGCCGAAAAGATTTACTAGGTAAAGCAGAGCGAGAATAATTTCAGTTTAATTGTATATATTTCATATAAATATCTCTCCGGCGGACAAACGTGGCCCAGGATGTGCCACGTGTTTTCCCATCAATCTACGTCAAAAGCTGAACAAAATCGTTTCCAAATTGAAAAAAAGCAATTTATAAAAATGGCGCATATACAAACTGGGGCTCATATCTCTGTTTCTTATCAAAGCAGGAAAAGAGCCTAATTAAACTCGGCTGCAGGACGCCAGGACAAACTTCCTCCCCGACATTTTGAATTAAAACTTAAAACTCGTTTTCAGAAATAATAAAATTTTTTCTCCCATAGGTATGGTCGCGTCCAGAGCGTCAAACTGTTGCCCCCGAGATCTGGGGCCAACGCGTCGTCCCCCGCAGCCGCGGTCGAGGAGGGCGCCGGAGGCCTGTGCGCGGCGGTCGCCTTCATGGACATCAAGTCGGCGTCCAAGGCGCACACCGCTGAACACAAGCTGGACGAGCGATGTCTCACCACCGAGTACTATGAGCCGCCGACGGCGCCCGCCGCCATCTTGCACATCCACGAGCGAGACGACGGTCTGCTGAGGGGCTCGGCGCCGGTGAGCGGCCCCGGAGCCACCGGCGCCGCTCCCGGGGGCAGCAACTACCCGCCCCGCTCGCCTCGCTATCCGCACGGGTAAGTCTCAACTTGTTTTGCTACGCGGCAACTTGACCCAGCTTGACCTAACGTGATTTTCAAAATTAATAAGTATGTTGTCGAAACAATCTGCAACTGAATGTTAACAACAGAAATTATTTTAATTCCTTGAGCTAAATTCGCCTTGAAGAAAGTGTATGATAGCATTTATCAGAGGGGCGAGAAAGAACTGCTGCTTAAACTTTTATTTTTCCACTCTCTTGAAAACCATTCACCCTTACCTCAAATCTAAAAGATGTTTCAAGTTAAATTTTTTTAACTTCTCGCTTAAATTTTTCTTCAGACTAGATAAAATTTTCATAATAAACTTGTTTAATAAACATGTTCGTCTATTGTTATAGGGGTTGAAAATGCAAATCTTTTCACATAGCTTTGCAACTAATAAAAGTAATTTAATTTAAATTGGAATGATTCATTTTACAACTCTCAAATTGTTTAAATGTAAAATTAATCAGTAACTAGGACTTTAGGACTTAATTAAAAATTCAATTATTTTGCACAAATCTTGAGTTGTCCTCAAACTCTTAAGTTGTTTTGCTTATAAAACAGAGATTATATACCACATAAGTGAACCCTCAATTTTCCAGTGGCATTTTATTTCCACGTAATTTTTATACCACGTCCAGTGGAAGTTAACTCATCCTGCCGTTTCAAAACAAAGTTGATGTGAAAAGTCCACGTCATTTCCGAACCGCGCTGCGGCTGCAGGTATTTAATACACGAAACTAATTGTCGCGATAAAAATTGTGCCGCCACAGTCTTTTATCGTTGCCCTCTAAACATTTACACGTCATCGTTTAATAATGGTGGAAATTTTACTTTTTGGCTCAAGGAAATTAAAAATACAATTATTTTTATCTGAAAATGGAAATTACCAAACAAAAACAGGGCTCAAGAGTCCAACACGCATTTTCACACAAGGCCACGCTGGGTCAGTCTGCGCCGACCTCGCTATTTATCTAATCCCAAAACCTAACTTAAAAAAAAAAATACACATAAACTGCATCGAAATTGACGGAAATCGGGCGTGCAGGGCGGTGCATTTCAGAGGGGCATCTGTCTGTTGCTGACGGGCCGCCAGCTTCAGCGAGTGCGTGTTTGTGTGTGCATTAAAAATAAATGAAGAAGGGAATAGGGTCGGAGCGCTCTCGTCCGTCCCAGAGCTAATTCTGTCGTCCCATCCGTCCGTTCGTCCGTCCGCGTGTGCGAGTGAGTATGTGAGTGTGTGCAGCCTCCTGCGGCGGTCGGTGGATCTCTGCAGTGCCTGTCCAAACAGTGTGCCGGCCAGTGCTCTCTCTCAGCCGCAGAGAACGGATACGATTTTTGCCGAGAGGATACCATTTGGATACAGTGGGCGGATTATTGTGCTGTGTGATTATTTGGCAAGCCGACGACCACGACCCCTTCGTTGGTGCAGTGTGAATTTCGTGCGCTGCCAAGATTTTTGCATCACGCAGGAGGAGTAGGTAGGAGTGTGAGAAATGCGCCCCTCGCCCTGCTGCGCACCGATTTCCGTTCTAATTTTTGCTCTTTGTCTAAACTTAACCCATTAATTATTTGTCGCAACGGAACTGACCTCTTATTACGTAGAAACTAAATTGATTTACAAAACTTTATATGCTGCCAGTGATTTAGTTTTTTTTTTACATTTTCCAACATCATAAGATCATGAAAAATATTCCCAAAACTATATAATCAAATTGAAATTACTCTAAAATTTGGGCTTCAGTTATTTGAAATGTTACAATTGTGCCATTCTTTGAAAAAACATATTAGTGTTTTAAGTGGTGAGAACAGTATTCACATTCAACGTTGTGAATCCACATCTATTCTCATGAAAGACGTGAAAGATAAAAAAAAAATAAAATAAAAAAAAACTCTTCATTAATTATTTAAAATGGCAAGTTCGCTTTTTTTCTTCAAGTTATCTTTATCAAAAATTAGCAGTAGTAAATAAATAAATTTTTAAAAATTCATTTCAAATCTAATTGCTTTGGCAAATTTCTATGCATTTTTTTTTACATTACTAAAACAATAGGTAATCAAATGAATATTCAGTTCAATTAATTTGGTGTTAAAAATCACTTTGACAAATAAAATAGCCTTAATTTTCCACGCTTTCAAACCTACAATTGAAATTCCAACTTAACCTTTCAGAATAGGTTGCCCGATATAAATTTAGACCAATATAAACCCTCGAACTGTTGCACATTTGCGAATGCTACCACCGGCCAGCTTACAGAATTAATTGGCCGCAAACGTTTTCGGAACAAGACCAATTTGCTCGCTCTTAACCACATCCGAAAGGAACCTCGTGCGCACTTGGTACATTAGTGGCCACATCCTCCGCGGATTATACTTGCTTTTCTCCTTCAAACACAACTTTGGGCTGCTGAAAATTAATTAACTCGGCCATCGGGGGTTGAAATCAAGGCAAGGCGCAGTATAATTTGGCACTCGTGCAAAGCGCAGCCCGGCCGGCCAGCAGCAAACAGGACACGCTCGATTTGTTGCAATTTGCATAAAGCTGCTACCGAATCAGGCCCAACTTTCAGTGGAATGCTTCCGAAAAAAGGGTTGATTATTCACTTTGAGCTGTCCAACGTGGGTTGCTAATATATGCGTTGAAAGAGGACATGTTTTTTGAGCGGGAATTTAGTTACTAATTGAATACTCCGGAAAATTTTGCCAAAACATCCAAGGGGAAAGTAAATTCACTCATGAAAAAAGTAATTGAAACATGAGTTATAAAATTCACTCTAAAAAGCAAATTTCAATTGAATTTTTTTTCAAATTTTTGAATAAGAAAAATTCAGATATGATAATTTGGAGTTTTTGTTTTGCAATTAAATCAAACAGACCCTTTTGGTTGAAATTTAAACGCAGTCCTTAAACAAAAATTGCTAAATTTTTTGAATAGAGAGATTAGTTCATATAGTTGGAAGACTCCGAATTAAGTTCCTATAACGTTAAAATTACTATAATTTAAACTTCAGTAGAACACAAAAGAATAGTTAATTCTTCCAAATTTATGAAGCAATTAAAATTAATAATATTTTGTAATTTGTTTCTTTGCAGAATTTTTGGAGTCCCATACTTAAAGTTAAAATTAAATTCATTCAAAGTTAACAAACACAATTTGTTAAACGTTAGAAATATCTTTTATTTCCTTTTGTTTGGTGTCAAAAATTTTTTAATTTACCAAAAAATATAGATATATTATTTATTTGAAAGCCAAGTTGCATAATTCTAAAAGCCGGGTTGAATGGGGCGTGATTCTCAAAGTGCAGGCTATAAATAATCCTCTGTAGTCTTTGCCAGTTTGACCTCGGCCGTGCTCTTTCTTTCAATTGCAAATTTCGGCGAACGCCTGACTGCTTTTATTCCATATACGAAAGAGACGAACGCTGCAGAAAACCAGCTCAGCGCGCCCGCAGCACTTGATTAATTTTTTCCTTTACATATATACCGTTGCCTCCTTTTCAAGAGCCGAAATAAAAGTAATAATAATAACAGCCGAACGCAGAAGAGTGTGTTGTGCTCGCAAAGGCTTCTCTTATGTATAACAGCGAGTCGGGTTTATTTGAAGCATCCATCGCATGCTAAATGCTGGTGCTGCTGCGGCTGCCATAATAACGATAATAATGAGCACCATTGGCAGCAGACTCACTCGGCTCAGCAGGGCGTTGATCGCCCAAGGTGACGCCAAGGGTACGCGCGGAGCCTCTTTTTTATATTTGCACAGCACCATCATCATCCAATGACGTATGCAAACTTTTATACTCACTCGCAACTCGCAGCAGAAGAAGCAGAAGAGTCTCCGCCGGCGACGCGAAAAGAGCCCTTTTTCGCGGCAGCCTCATTAAAAATCGCGCGCTGTTTTTATTCTCCACGTCGCGCACTCGCCAACTAATATTACAACAATTTTTCCTCTCCGGTGGCTATTTTTCGTCAGTGCCGTTTCGTTCGCTCGCCAGCGTGTTTACATAATTAGCAAGCGCTTTTCGGTCGCTCGTTGTTTACCGACGAGTGGCGGACAAAACGAACCAGCGAGCTTCTGCTGATGGAAAATAAACTCTGCCGCGAGACTGAAATTTTGCATGCACCGTCGCGGTAAATGCGTTGGCCGCAATTCGAAATCGCTTTTTTGCTGCGCATTTTTTTTATTTTTTGAAACGGGGAAAACGTTAACCGTGGCTTTTGCGTTCCAACTCTCTAATTACTTGCAGAAACAAGCAATATTAATCTCGATAATGCCGTCTGGCAAACGTTTTGGCTGCGTTTTTTATCAGTAACATATTAATTGACGTCTTTACCCCTTATCTTGAAGAAATTGCAGTCTTCATTGCAATAAAAAGAATTCGTGTCCCCCTTTGGTAATTATATAATTAGCGCAACAAACGGAACTGGAGTTTTATATTCAAATTGTCCTATTTTGTCTGTTAATTTAACTGTATAAATTCAGCTTGAAATTAAAAAAACTTTTTTCAAAATTTTAATTTTCAAGCTCCGTAAAAAAGTGTGTTATTATTGTACTTAATTATAAAACCTTTTATTTGATCTATGTAGATGCTCCGATGTCTTAAATTAACTCTAATTTATTTCACTAAATAACTATGAATGTAATAATTTTAACTTTTACCGTCAAAACTAATTTTCATCTTGCTAACTTCATTATCAATCAAATTATTTAAAGGTATTTGAGAACAATTGATATGCGTGAATGCTCAAGATCTAAATTTTTGAATGTATTTTCCATTTCTATGCCAATAACTTTCAACTTTCCCTGAAGCCCCAAGAGTTCACCGTACCTAGCTCGCATTTCCCTACGCGAGCTCGTTTTACCGTGGATCAATTCAGTTAGTTGTGCCGATTAATTAATTAGCAATGGACGCAGTAGTCACGAGCCGTCCTCGTCGCATTGTATGTACTTCGCAAGTATGGGAAGTCATACCCCAGCTGCCAAAATCGAAAAATTA